TTCCTCACAGTAACTTGATGTAAATATCCATACAGGTCAGCCTGTGTCCAGTTTGAGTGAAAGGAGGCGCGCTGAGGTAAAGCAGCGGCAACGGGTGAGGCAAAGCGCAGAGGCACCAGCTGTGTGATTAGTTCGCGCGCTGTCGGCTTTAAATGCATAAACTATAAACCTATCTATTATTAACCTATCCTTAAGGATATATCTGCTCTGCTAGTGAAATGCTCAGAGCAACAGAGACGCTTGCAGCCTGGCTTTTTTTTTTTTTTTAAAGGCGATTCCCCCCCCCACCCCCTTGAAACGTAAACAAGCAATGCTTAGCCTGGCAGCGAGGCTAGTAAAGCATGGCGGGCCGCCAGGCTTATAATACACTGGGGGAAACCCTGGGTTTTGTTTTGAAATGTGTAGATAAACTCCAGAACAAAAGCCAAAAATCTGGTGTAGATGCTGCTGAAGCTGGTAAGATGGAGTCATTATCCACATTGAAACATGTTGGTACCAACTTGAGCTAAATGGCCGTCAAGCGAGGAATAAGTCTTTAATTGAAAATGTAAAGACAGATTGCAGTTTGCAAAGGCACACAGGGACAAAGATCTTCATTTTTGGGCACATTTTTGGGTTTGAACTGAAGTAACTTAAAGACAGCAAAATCATTGTTGTAATGTGGCCATCACAAAACCCTGATATTAATCCTATGGAGAGTTTGTGGTAGATCTGAAATGGTGTGTGTGATTGAGGCTGAGTTGACCTGCTAATCTGACTGAGTTACACTTGTTCTGTGAGGAGGAATGGACCAGAACTCCAACAAACTATCATGAGAAGCTTGTGAAAGGAAATCCAAAATCTGTCATACATTTTAGAAGACATTTATCCCTTCATGACAAAATGTTTAGAAACTTCTGAATGAAACAAGAGTTATAAAAAATGTTCTAGCAAAAATATTCAGACATTTAGCAAATATAAATAATTTTGATAATTTTAGCTATCCTAAAGAGCAGAAGTTTGGTCTGATTTAACTTCTGATGAAGTTAAATCAGACCAAATTTTTTTTTTCTTTTTCTTTGGTGTATGTAAACATTTGGTTTCAACTGTATTATTATGTTATTCATCCATGACAAAGGGGTCCAGGGTTTGACTCCCAATCAGGTTTTCCCCCTTTTTCTTCCTGCCCCTCTTTTAAGTGTGAAAAAAATATCAGTAGTAATATCAACTAATTACAATGAGACTGTTTCAGTGAGTTGTATTAATTCAGTCTAATTAGTCATATTAACCTGCGACAGACTGGCGACCGGTACAGGGTGTACCCTGCCTCTTGCCCGGAACGTTAGCTGGAGATAGGTGCCAGCAACCCTCCTGACCCCACTAGGGACAAGGGTGTATAGAAAATGGATAGATGGATAGTCATATTAACTGTAAGAAGTTAGGGTACATTGCTAAGATATAAACTATGGGGTTTGAAGCTTAAACTAAAATAGAGGTGTATAGTTTGTGAACAGTTTGTAAGAATTATTTCTGATGGTTACTTTTTGACGTGTGCAGTTTGAGGCAGAGTACCGTCGCTTTGGTCTGAAGAGGAATGGATTTGGTGGCTTCCAAGAGTTCTACCACCTCCTCCAAAACATCCATCACATCCACGGTGTGGAGGTGCTGCTGGAATATGCTGACATCCATGGAGATCTCCTCCCAATCAACAATGATGAAAACTTCCACAAAGCTGTTTCTTCAGCCAATCCAGTGCTGCGGATTATTATAACAAAGAAAGGTAAGAGTCATAAAGGTGAGATGATTTAGGGTAAACATTTTACTCTCATTTATCTCAGCTGCATTTGGATTCAGTTTTTAAAAGCACTGCATTGTTTCATTTAACTTCATTTTGCTGCTGTGCCCCTGCCTCTGTCATAATTCATGATGTAATGATGTTAATCTGCTGCTCAGCAGATGGTATTGTTTCAAATTACACTCAGCTGCCAGCTTAATCAGATTTACTCTGAGGTCTGGTAGAGGAAGGATTAAAGGGAAAGTAAAATGGAGGGTCAAGACAAAAAGAACAAGTGAAAACGAAATACACATTTGGCAAACTTTGCTTCAGGATTACCCAGTGAGGAAGTGAGTCAGATCTCAGAGTGATCACTCTAGAACTATCCCTTATTCCACTCCTCATTTAGAAGGTCAGTTTCAAATCAAATTTACTGACCTCATTACCTTATCTTTCAAACTACCGTATTTTCCGGACTATAAGGCGCACCTAAAAGCCTTAAATTTTCTCAAAAATCAGCAGTGCACCTTATAATCTGGTGCGCCTTATGTGTGGACTGAATTCCAAAATCTGTCCCTGACACAGAGACATAAAGTGTACAGTACGTACGCTGGCAGTGATAAACCAATCAGAGGACATTACGTAATACGTAAAGTACGTACGCCAGCAGCAATAAACCAGTCAGAGAATTGTTGTCCGAGTTCTGCAGCATACGCCTCTGGTAAAAACCAGATAGGTTTTTCCACACATCACCGTCCCTGTTCATCTGCGACTCCATGCGCGCCCATCTCACTGCTACTGTGAAAAAGGAAGTGAAGCAAACTAATTCAGAGTTTGCTGTCATTCCGGGAGGATTAACAAAAGAACTCCAACCGCTGGACATTGGTGTAAACAGGGCGTTCAAAAAGAAGTTACAAGCGGCGTGGGAGCGATGGATGACAGACAGCAAACACACGTTTA